GTTGTACATAAGGTCGCTATGAGTCGCAAGGGACTCTATGGCACATAACAACAACAACAACATATTATACATATGTTAGTAATAATAAGAATAAAAGAAGAAAAGGGAGGAATATCTATATACTCTGAGTCATAGGCTAAAAAGGCTATTCAAATGGCCACAATTCCTCAAATGCTGTGGTATAAGAAATAAATGTCTAGATGAAGAAAATCAGCTGATGATTAGTTGACTTCTCAGTCTGAAAGGTGAAAAGCCAAGTACACAAAATAGTCAACACAGGTAAAACTATGGGCATGGTGTAAAGTAAACTAAACATAGATTTTTTTTCCCTTTACATTCTTTCATAGAGGAAAACTCTTTATCTTGAGAATCTATTCAAAGGGAGTACTAATAAGCATCATACAAAGAAGATGGCAAGCCTAAGAAAGTATTTTATCAACAGGTGATCCTGCCAAACTGCACAGATTCACTTCTTTACAACACATTCAGCAAACGTTTGCCATCACAATTATTTTAAATCTCAATATTTAGGGCAGCCCTGCTACATGACAATATTGTTCCAGTGACCATCAGAAGGAAGCTGGATTTGGACTTGGCACAGAGGCAACACTTCGTATCTATTCTTCAACTCTCAGGATAATATTTTCCCATTATGTTACTAAAAGAACTAAATGGCACAATTCAATGACATTACCCAAACTGTTAGAATGCTGTAGATGTAAGTATAATATCCTCTAATTCTTTTAAAAGTTAAATTTTACTGACTTTCTTTGGTTTTTATCTGCCTTACATTCCCTAAAAATCTGTCCAATGAATTTTTTTCTGAATAAATCTAAATTTTATCAACATAGTTCATGATGATGATGATGATGATGATTAGATGATATTCTTAGGAGGGAAGAAAGATCCTTTCAGCCTAGAAGTTTCTCAAATCAGCCTAGACAACAGAATTTCTTAATGTTTAACACTACTCAGGAAACTCAAACTTTAATATTTTCTTTTTATGTAAAATTCTGACCCTCTTTTCATTTTACTTGCATCACTATGGTTGAGCTTTAAAATGCAATAAAGAGCCATCAAAAATAAACAAACATAAAAGCCAGAAAAATGGTCTTATTGACAATTATAATCTATTATAACAAGTACCAGCCAGCAAAAGTCCAGCTCATTGAGCCTGTTATCAGCCAGGGATATGCACATCTGCCAATTGCTTAGATGCTCCTTCACTGCCTGACTGGCAAACAACTATAGCTCAAGGGCTATGTTTTTAAAATTCCACATTTTCTTTCCTTTGCAATTTTACTTACGCAAAAATGTATCTAATGGTTGGTCAATCAGCAGCATATGAAATTTTATGACAGTAATTTTCTGCACATTCAGAGAAGAGAATTCAAGACATGAAAAATGCCTCTTACAGCCTTCCCATTATTTCCTGTTGCGTCCATAGAACTCAAAACAGTAGAGGATAGTAGCCGTAAAGAGTGTTTATGCTAATTTCACCTTAAGAAAACATGTTATCATTGTCCAATTAAGTAGAAATTAATCAAGGGTAACAGGAAAATACCCCCCCCCCAAAAGGTGAGGGATATGCTCTTGATGAAGCAGATTAGCTATAAACCCAGAGGCTCAGCCAGATTCATGAATTCACACTGATTATCCTAGGGGTCTACTGTTAAGAGATGTCATTATGATGCTCCGAGAGAGAAAAATTACAATTATATCCTTACAAAGAGAAATATTTTAATACATGTAATATGCTATTATTTTCCTTAAGACTAAATTCAAATTAAGAAGATGACAAACATCACATTGAATGTCACATTATTATGCTTTACTTGTGTTCTTTTGAATCCCTGAGAGTACAGAACACTAATTTAAAACAGTTATGTTTTAATTAAAATCTAAGGTTCAGAACTTTTGTGCTATAATTCTAATTCATACAAAACAATGATCAAAAACTTTGTGAGTACATTGATGCTTTGCAATCTAAACAGTGATGTGTGTGGACTAGCTGAGCTACAGCTACAATCACATCATCCAATTTCTACTGTGTATTCCATTTCACAGAACTGTGAAAATGTAACTACTGGGATGTCAATATTTAGAAATGATCTGGAAGAGATAGTGCATAGTGAAATCTTCAGTATACCATAAAACTAATGTTGCATCAACATAAAAATGTTCCTATTTACCAAGAGGCAGAACAATGGTCACTAGCTTTTTTTTTTTTTTAGCTGAATTAACAAAGTTTATTTCGAGTTCGAACCCGGGCTCCCGAGTGCTGACACGGCAGCATCCAGCTGAGAGCCCCGTCACTAGCTTTTCAGAACAATTCACTTTAATTTAATTTAACAAACGTATTGAGCATTGACTACATGACCATTAGATACTAGTGATATAAAGATAATGTAAAATCTACACTCTTCATGTAACTTAATCTGACACAGATACACAATTATATCATAATCTAGTTAAAACAGGTGTTGTGAGAACACAAAAAAGTGGAGAATTAATTCTACCATTTTTTTGTTATTGTTACATCTCTTCAAGTAGGAAGAGACTCATGGTTGACTCTTCAGTGGTTTTCCAGAGGCTATAAATCATATGAGAGGATTTTTAAAAATTTATTATTAATTTCAAAGAAAATTTACAGAGACTTTGGATTTCCATTCATTCATTGTTGCACTTTTCTCCCCTCTAGCACACTACCCTCTTGGAAAAGTAAAAGAAAAATTCTTTCATTGTCTTACAGACCCTCCCTCCATGTCCACTCCACTATGCAGCCTTCTCTCTGGACTCCTGTCATGACAAAAATACCTAATCACATATCCCTTTTAAACAGCTTTCTCCCTCATCTGTTTCAGCGCAGTATACATTATTGAACCCATCTTTCTCAGTCTCCCCCCAACCCCAAGGTCAGTCCTGTTTTACAACAGTGGCACCATGCAGTATTTGTTCTTTTTGTGACTGACACACTTCACTCAGCATAATGTCCTCCAGGGTCACTCATTTTAAATAATATTGCATGAGTTCCTTGTTTTTCAATGCAGCAGAGCTCCATAGGCACAAATATTCCTGTTAAATATTCCTATCTCATTTCTTTTTTTTTTTCAATGTTTCTAATTACATGTACTTTTGTACTCTGCCTTAAATCTTCTATGTAGTAATTAGTAATTATGCTGGGGTAGGTGAGAAACTAGAGAAACAGAAAGGGGTAATGTATGAGTTGGGTATACCCAGGAGAGAAGCTGGTACTGAAGAAAAAGAACCCTCTTATAGAGGAAACTACATAAGCAAGATCCAGGGGCAAATAATACCAGATGTTGTCATTGTTGTTGATTGCCTTCGAGTTGAGCATGACTCATGGGAATAAAAAGGCCTGAAGCCTTTCTATAACTATCCTCATTTCTCAAAGTTCATAGTTTCCAGAGGCATGTTGTTTAGAATGTGGATGCCACTCCTGCTTCCAAATAGGCCTAGATATGATTGACATGCAGATATGCTTGAGTAATGAAGGACGCATAGCATTGCCACAGCACAGGGCAGGTGACTGGAAGGGAATACTGAAGCCAGGTCATAAAAGACTTACTGTTCCATGTCAGGATATTTTAAATTTTGTAGCAAAGTGGAATTAGAAAAATTTTGTAATCAAGAATTATTTTGCTCAAAAATATTACTCTCACAGCAATGTATAGATGGTGTATGTATCAACTTTGATCGGCCATGATTCTCAGAAGTTTGGCTGCTATATAATATGTAATTATTCTCCATTATATTATTCTGCCATAATTAACCAATTACTTGTAAGGCGATTAGGGTGAATGCAACACTCTTCTTCAAGTCACGGCCTTGGTCCCGTTTAGGGTCAATGTCTGTGGGATGTTACTTGCCTCATCTTTTATCTTACAAGAAGTAAAAGAAACAAACAAGCAGAAAAGGAAAGACTTGATATTCTTGCTCTTAGGCACTTTGGAGACGTCTCTGACTGTAGACTTTCCCCAGTGCAACATGTCTTTTTATTTCCTGACTGCTGTTGATTGTGGATCCCAATAAGACAAAATCATTAATAATTTCTATCTTTCCTCCCTAGTTATCATGATGTTATCTATCGCCCTGCTGGTGTGGACTTTTGTTTTATTGATGCTGAGATGTAATCCATACTAAAGGCTGCAGATTCCCTGATCTTTGCAGAAAGGGTTTCAAGTTATCTTCACTTTCAACAAGCAAAGTTGTGTCATCTACATAATGCAGGTGGTTACTGAGTTGATGCCATGTTCTTCTTCATAAAATTCAGTTTCTCAAATGATTTGTTTCACAAAGAGATTTAAACAAATGTGGAGAAAGAATACAGTCCTGAGGCACACCTTCCTTGATTTTAACCAATGCAGTATTTCCTTGCTCTGTTCGGACAACAGCTTTTTGGCCAAAGTAGAAGAGCAGGTGAGGGTAGTTTAAAGGAAGAATTAAGAAGACATTAGGTTTAACTACATTTTCTACCTGAAGGATAAGGAAGAGCAAAGATGATGGAGATCTTCAATAGCATTAAGAGAATTCAACTCTCATGTCTTACTATTGAGTCTGAACTAACTCCTAGCTGGCCCTCCAGCAGGCTTCTGAGGATGTAAATTGCACTGGAGGAGATTGTTCATTTTTACCCTGGGGGAGCCACTGTTGGATTTGGACCCCAGAAACATACAGCCTTTGAGTTACCAATGCAATTCCCTACAGACTACAGTACTCCCAAGACTCTGGGCTGAAGCTCCATCCCAATTCCCCACACGCGCCCTTGTCAAATGTGTAGCAGTGGTACCAGGTCCCTGTCCCCCTGCTACCTAAGGAACTATGAATTAATCTCATGAAAACATAAAAATGTTTTGGTTTGGAACAAGGTTAGGAAGCAGTAAGCTGTTAAGGAAAGCTTTCCCCCTAGTTCTTATCACACAGTGAATTATTACACTTATACATCAATAGAAAAGTTACAAATATTAAGGAAATACCTGAAAGGTGTACCTGACAGCCTGTAAGAGCTTTTAGAATAGCTTCACTTGGTTTTAAATCACTTTTTAAAACTGTATTGCTTAGTCTGAATTTAACATCCATGCTTTAAACTGTACATTTAACAGGCTACTTACAATAAGTACATTATGACACCTATGCTCCAAATGTCACACTGATGGCTATAGTCATGGGCATTGATAACTTCAGGGGCTGCCAAACAAGCAGAAATAAAATAATATTAATAATACAATAAGTGACTTTTAAATGCTAAACACAAAGCATGAAAAATGTGCTGATGTGTTGTAATTTATTCCCCCACAGGGGAAAAAAGAACCAACAGCAGATGTTAAATGAATAATGTACAGGTCTTAACAATTGATGTCACGGTACCCTCACTCCTATCATCTAGCTTCTAATGGAACAATGGCATAAACTGTGTGACTAAATGTATTATTTTTATTCTTTCAAATGTGTTAAGAAATTATTTTTTAAAGTTTGTGTACTTACAGTAGAAGAAAAACATTATCTCAGTCTTTTTCCCAAAATAGAATTGGATGCATATCTTAAGTGGATATAATTTAAAGCAAACCCAGTATGTGAAAATGTGGATTTATAGGGAAAACTAAATGGTTAAAAATCACTTTAGTAAAAGAGTAATAGTAGTACTATTACTCTTATTACAGAATATAAATTATTTTCTACATTTCATAAGTGAGAAACCAAGACAAAGAGTTCCCACAACACGACTATATAAAAAAGTTTATTTGTCCCAAATAAAGACTAGGGTCCAGGTTAACCTCATTCCCCTACTCTTAGCTGTACAAAGGCACTAAATATGGGCTTCCTTTAAACAACCTTCTCAAGATATTTCATTTCTCAATGATTAGACTTTTTTAAAAGAATGGCCAGCTTAAAAAAAAAATCACTTAAGATACTTCCAAAATGTACTATTATTCCTGTACATTTGGGTTAAGATTTTTGTTAAATAAAAGAAAGTAAAACATTCCCAGCAGTCAGGATAGAGGTGGCCTATTGTACTGGGAAAGTCTGCAGTTAGGTAGCTCTCCAAATTATTGAGGATTAATGATGTCAGTTTGAGAACTAAGGTCTGTCTGATTCTGGTCATGGTCCTTCTGATCACTTGTTATGCATCTGAAAGTCTGACGATGAATAAGGATGACAGAAGGAAAAATTTATCTCTTTGAGTGTGGAGTTGGAGAAGAGCACTGAACATCCCATCACAGCCAAGGGAACAAACAAATATCTCTTGGAGAGGGTGCAGCCAGAGTGCTCTTTGGAGGCAAGAGTGATGAAGCTTTGCCTCACATACTTCAGGCATGCTACTATGAGGGGCTATTCCTTGGAGTGGGACATGATACTTGGAGAAGTGGAGGGTGGGCGAAGCAGAGGAAGACCCTGAACCAGGTGGGCTGACACGGTGACTGCTGCAATGGGCTCTTGTGTGCCCGGAAGTGTGAAGATGATGCAGGATAGAACAGGGTTCAGATCTGTTTTTCACAGGGTCACTTGAGTCATATGGCACCTAACAAAATGTGTCTAAGCATAACAATAAAATGTCTGTCTATTATATACATATTAAAGGAACTTTAAAATTTATGGAGAACTTTTTTATACATTATTTTATTTGGTTTCATAAGAATTTTTTAAATGAGTCTGCAGGCATTTGACTCACTTTTCCAGTGAGGACACCAAAGTCCAGATGCATTAACTGACTTGTCTACTTGCCCAAAGTTACACAGTTACAAACACCTCCTACATAAAAATGTATGTTTTTTATCTTAGAAAAATGTTTTGTTCAATTAGACACACACACTCCTATCTTTTGTGATAACTACTAAAGAAAATGAACCATAAGCAATTTTATTTGCTCTTTCTCCCTTTACCTTTTGTTGAGGGGACCCTAAAAGCAACAAAGAGGTGTAAAAAAACAGTAAATAGAGAAATAAACAGTTGAATTATAGGTAACCAAGAAACCAAATAATAACTCTCTAAATAATTAAAAAGTAATTAACTACTATTTTCCTTTAAGTAACTACTTGCATTTTAAACTCTCCTCAAAACCTTTAAGTACTGACACATTAATGTCCAAGTGTTTCATCTAGATCCTACATCTATGACCAGGACAAATTCTATGATTCCAGTCAATGAAGCATTTCTACTATGTGCACTACACAGCAGGGGCTTGGAATTATGTCCTCACATCTCAAAGTCATCTTAATTATCGGGGGCATATCTACTTGCCTTGTCATCACAGACTTCACAAAGAAGTAAAGGCCAGAATAACACTTAGACCTGTGCCAACGAGCGATTTAGGAAGTCAGCAAAGCTCCACAAACCATCTGTCTTCTCTCTTGTTCTCTCACTTGTTATCAGTGTAGACAACTAATAAGCAGGCATAAAACTCAGGGTGCTTGGATATATTTTCCCCACGTAACTACAGACCAGATGTCTTTTGCCAAGAGGGGGTTATGAACAGAATCTAAAGTAGCCTTCACCACAGAAGATAAAAAGCAATTAAGAAACTTTATGTATCAAGTAGACAAAACAACAATGCACTAGGTATGTTCCTCAGCAATAAAGTGAACAAAAGACTGATAGGACAACATGAGTAAGACTCTAAATCATTACATGGAACAGAAGACAGTGATAGCGGAGTATATACTATGTAAGTCAATTTGTATAAAATTCTATACAAGCAAAATAAAACTATAATGATAGAGATCAGAACAGTGGTTGCTGTGATTGAGGGGAGGGGAAAAGGAGACTGATTGAAAGGGGTGTACCTGGTCATCTCTGCAGAGATAGAAATTATCCGTATCTTCTTTACAGTGGATAATTATACAAATATATGTGCTTGTCTAAATTCATTAAACTACATATTTCATATATATGCCTGTCATTTTATAAAAATTGTATTTCAATAAAGTTATTTCTTTTAGAACTACTAGAAATACAAAAATGATTTATTAGAGCTATGACTTTATGGGTGACTTGAACAACTCTCTTTTGAAACCAAAAGAAGCAACCAAAGAATAAATAAAGTTTGGAAAATTTGAATCATGAAGGTATCACATTTAATTTAATAAACATTCTTAGAAATTTTTATGGTCAATAAACCAAGAATATACATGCTTTTTGAATATTTAATGGAAAAGTTATGAAAACTGAATATATGTTCAATCACAGAAAACCTTTCAATCAATTCATAGTGAAGAAGATCAGCTAGAAAAAAACAACAACAAAAGGGAAAAACAGATCACATTCACAAGAGCCTATACTCAAAGACAACTCATCTACTAAAATCTAAAAGCCCTCCAAGATGATCTTTGTATTAAAGAAGACGACAAAACCTAAAACTTTGGTTTATTGGAAAAACAAATGTCAAAAAGGAAACCCAGACTGGGAAAAATATTTGGCAATGACATATCTGATAAGGTACTCATAGCTAAAATGTATCCAATACTCCAACACCTCAACAAGAAAACGGTAAACAACTCAATCACAAGATAGGAACAGACACTTCATCAAAGAAGAAATTTAGATAGCAAACATATGAAGAAATGTTCACACTCCCTACCTATCAGAGAGATGCAAATAAAAACAACTATGAGATATCATTTCACTTCAGCAACAATAGCAAATTTCAACAGGGCAGCAAACAACAAATGCTGGGAAGGTTGTGGAGAGGTTAGAACTCTTATTCACTGCTGGTGGGGATGTAAAATGGTTCAACCACTATGGAAGGCAGTTTGGTGATCTCTCAAAAAGTTTTAAGTAGAAAGACCATTTAACCTAGAAATTACACTACAGGGAGTAGAATCTAAAGCAACCAGAGTTGCTACTCAAACAGATGTGTGCACATCATGTTTACTGTTGCTTTGTTCACAAGAGCAAACAGATGGAAGCAGCCCAAGTGCCCGTCAACAAGTGAATGGACAGAAAGATTGTAGTGAATTCACACAATGGAATGCTACACAGCATTAAAAAACAATGAAGTTGTAAAACACTTCACAACATGTGTGAGCCTGGAAGACATGCTGAGTGAAATACCACAAAAGGACAAATACTGCAAAACATCACTGTTAAAAAGCAGGACCAACATGGGTTGGAGGGATAATAGGAAAAGAATGACCAGATTATGAACAGATGAGGGGAAAAACTGTCTGAAAGAAATATATGATTACACACACACACACACACACACACACACACACACACCCCTCCCAACAATCTGGAATAAGAGGGGACTGAAAAGTGGGAGAGAGAAAAGAGGAAGAGGAGAAAATGCATAACAATGAATGAATGAAACCCAACCTTTCTGCAAGTTTTGTTAAAATAAATAAAAGTAAACTAGAGCACTGCATCGCTTCATAAATGGTCAAAGGTGGAAAACATTTAGCCTAAAATACATTAGTAAGAAATAAGAAGGAAAATGAGCATTCAAACTAGGAAATTAAAAAAGAAACCAAAATAAAGGAGAACAAGGGAACTCAGAAAGGCATAAGTAATTTGTGAAATTTAAGAAAAAGCAAACCAAGAAACATTATACCAAACAAACTAACCACCAACAAATCTGACCTAGGAAAAAATAATTATTACTGCTGTCAGAGTTAAAATTGAGCATTAAGTGTTAAAGCTGTGCTAAACATTTTACACAATATCTAGTTAATTAATTGTTACACTAGCTGAATAAGTGGACCAACAAGAGAACAAGAGGATGAAACCAAGTTTCTCCTTGGAGACTAAGATTTTGAAGCTTCATCTTACATATTTTGGGCATATGGCCAGGAGGGACGAGTACTAGAAGGACATCATACCTGACAGGGTGGAGGGACAGCACAGGAGAGGACGACCCCAGATGAGATGGACTGACACAGTAACTGGGGTAATGGGGGAAGGGGTGTCAGATTCAGTGAGACTGGCTCAGGCCAGGGCAGGCTTGAGAGCTGCTGTGCTTAAGGTCGCTATGAGTCACAGGTGATTTGATGACACATAGCAGTAACATAATAAGAAAGTGCATATTATCATCATCAATACTTTTTCCCCCCTCCATGTTTTCTTTTTCTTTCTTAACACTTATCGCTAATATACCAGATATTTTACATTCTTATCTCATTTTGTTCACAGTTGTATCCTTAATTCCTGTAATAGTGTCTGACACAAAATGGACTCTCAAAAACACATTTGATAAATGAGTTACATAATCCCTATTATGCAAATAGAGATATTGTCACAAAAATTGTTTGTCCAGGGTTACCTAACCATCAAGAACAGAGTTGGCTTCTGAGTTACACAGGTGACTCCAGAGGTGACATAACAAACACTACAACATGTTGCCTTCTGAAATTTTAGGAATTAACCAGGAAATAGAATCACAAGTATAAAGGAGAATCTAAAAATTGTTAGTGAATAAAATTTGTATGCACACAGAAATAAAATTTTAAAACTCAATGTAGAAACCAATTTTCTAGGAATATACAAATCAACAAAATTATTTAAGAAAATGTGGCATAACTGAAAATGTAATGAAAACACTATCCCCCTAAGAGATACTTAGACCAAAATAAACAAAAATCTAAGGGAAATTTCATTAAACCACAAAGAAAGGGATAATTTCTATTACTTTAAAAAGTGGCTTCTATTATTTAAAGGGTCATTCACTGGTGGATTTCTCCTGAGGAGACCATGGTTCAGCTCCTGGCCCATGCCCTTCACATGCAACCAACATCACCTGACAATAGAGGCCTATGTGTTGCTATGATTCTAAAGGCGTTCCAATGGGGCTTCAGTCTAAGATGGACTAGAAATTCAGCCAGTGAAAGCACCATGACATGATGGGAGGCAATCACGAAGGTGGCACAGGATCAAACATCTCCTTCTGTTGCACATGGAGTTACCATGAGTTCAGAGTTGATTAAGTGTCGAATAACAATTTTCAACGAATGATAATTAACTCAACTGACCTTCTAGCGTATTTTCAGAGGCTTTAAATCACACAGAAGGAGAATGCTCATCTTCCTTCCTGGGAGCTGCTGACCAATTCAAATCTTTTGACCTTTGGGTTAGCAGTAGAACTCCCTACAGACTATGTCACCAGATGGTACATGATCACAGAAAAACAAAAAATTAATTTTTCTGATGAGGTTAGCACAGGGTGAAACAGAGTTAAGGGCTCTACTAATAACCAAAATACTATTCAAACCCATTTAGTGGGGCCTCAGAAGACAAGTCTAGCAATTTGTTCTCAAAAATGTCACAGACTTGAAAATCCCATGGAGCACCTCTACTCTGCGCACACAGGGCCAACAGGAGTCAGAACCGACATAATAACAACTAAGAGTAACAATATAACCTTAACATATAAACAACAAGGGTAGCACAAAAGAATGTTATAGTCAAAGACACCAAATAAAGTGGTGACAAAATCAACACAGCACTATAATAAACCACACATAATTAGGAAATGCAAGGATGGCTCAACAATGCTAATTATTCATGAATAAATTTAAAGAAAAAAAATATCATAATCTCAATAGGCGCAGGTTTGAATATGTACTAATATGAAAAGATATATGACTAACTGAAAAACACACAAGAATACATAAGCATTGTTTATCCATCCAAAAAACAACTCAGTTCATTGCTGTCAATTCAAACTGATGCACAGCTGATCCTCCAGAGGGTTTTCAGAGGTTATAAATCACACAGGAAGAGACTGCCCATGATCTAAGCACCCATTAAGAAAAGTAACAATTAGGTTTGACATACAATTAATTAAGATATAAATAACTTTAAGGCAGAGAAACAACAAAATAAAAATCTTTGAAAATAGGAACTCAGAAAAACGTTGAAATTATATGAACTAAGACAAGGAAAAACTCAGTCAGAGCCATTAAGTCAGGGAAACAAGAAAAAATTGCTCAGTTTGTGTTTTAATACATAAAACGTCCTGGTGACACAGCAGTGAAGCATGAGACTCCTAACTACACAGTTGATAGTTCTGACCCATTCAGCTCCTCCACGGGAGAAAGACCTAAAGATTACTCCACAGAAAACCCTCTGGGGCAAATTCAGCTCTGTCACTTAAAGTATCTATGAGTTGGAACAATACTCAACAATAGTAACTTTTAGTATATATAAAAATAGGTTTAAGTCTACCCACTCACCCATATAGACAGGAGTCCCGCAAGTGGTCTGCATCATGGCTTCACTCCTACCATGTTTCTTGACAGCTAAGCCAAAATCACTCACCTAGAAAGGAAACTCAGATGTAATCATCTGTCTTTGGATACCATATTGTACACATTCTCATGATAGGATTTTCTCCACATCACAAACGTATTTTATGCAGGACTCTTAAGTCGAAAAAGGATCTTTACTTGTATTTTTAATAAGGACCTTTTTTTATCCCTTCCATCCACACCTTTACATGAAAAGAAATTTGGTAAAGGGAAAATCTGTTTCTCAAATCTTGAAAAATACCCATGACTTTATTGTTCGTGGCCACAAGTTAAATTTATCCACTCAATATATGAAATAGCATTTGGGGCAAAAAAAGCATTTAACTTTTAAAATATGTGTTAAGTAAGTTATGGTCTGTTTTTCATTCTTTTTCAATTATTTCATTACAAAATATATGTTGGCTTCTGTATGTTTATCATCTGTTATTCTTATACTCTAGCTATGTCCCAGTTTAAAGCATGTAAAAATGTAAATCATTATCTTCATCAGCATTCACTGAAACATCACTATTTTTTATAGTCATTTAGGTTTGGTAAATAGTATCTTCCCTTTACTATTATATGAGTTGTATTTCCAGAGTATGCTAGTTACAGTAATTGTTACACTACTGCTGCAACTTCAGGCTTTCTGCTCAGTTCTAAAACTAAACTATTAAACACTGGGTCATTAAACATTCAGTATGTGGCCTTAGTCTTCTTGTCTTTCAAGCTGCATCAACCTTGGGCTGAAAGCAGAAAAAATAAGGGCAATGACTGAGCAAACAACCAAAGATAGGCTTCTGATTCAAAGCCACTGAACGCAGTTGTCAGTGCCTTATAAAGTAAGAATATGTTTCTACTAAAACATGATGTCACTATTTCTAAACAAGTAACAGGAGCTTGCACAAATACGTCACTTTACTGCACAAAAAAATTATAAAGGTATCAATTATACAAAAAAAGTCTACACAATTAAATTCTTTAGATAACACTTGTGCTTTCACTCATCAAATATTGATTAAGTACATATTATCTCAGGTACTACTCCAGATACACCTCCAGGTACGCCAAGACATGCACAATCCATGCCCTCTATATAGGAAAGCTGTCCAAGCACATTCACTCAGTAGAACAGCAGTGCCATAATCCTATTTGTATAACAGGGATTTAGCTCCTGCTACAAAGTTAGTTACTAACAGACATTGTATTTCTAAATTAATACATTCACATAGTTGGAGGCACCTATTACTAAAGTGCTAAGTAATAAATAATGGATTTTATAATTTATTTTAACTTAAGGAACATTTAATTTTAATAAATTCTTCAAAAATAAACACTTGGCACATTTACTGTGTTTAGCACATAAATATTAATATCTAGGAAATTTCTCAACAAGGAATACAGATTTCTGTAGTCAAAAGCACAACAGAGGTACACTGTTCTCTAAACCTGTAACATATTTACATCAAATTACCATGAATCATTTTAAAATTAATTAGAATTCAGAGCATCTGTTTGCTAGCTATTAGCTTGTGATTTAGAATTACTGAAATAAATACATACTTTTAAAAAATATTTAACAGCTCCACTTATAAAGTTATTCTTATCAATGACAATATCTCTTGTATAATATTTTTGCAAAACCGTATCATAGATTTTGATTTCTCAAAAGCTATCACAATATATGTATCACAAAAGAAGAAATAATTTTCCACTGCATTCAAACTATTTATAGGTAATTATTTACCTATATTTCTTATCTCTTACCTTTATGTTTAAGTTCATTTCATTGTTAGCATCAATAAAGCTGCTTTTAACCATTATGTTTTCCAGTTTTAGATCTCTATGTACTATATCTACCAAGAAAATAAAAACAAACCATTTGAAATCATTAATGGGAAAATAATTAAAGGGAACATAAGTAGAAGAAGTAAGCATGCCTGGCAAACTATTAGCCACTGTTGGACAACTTCAGGAGGACCAAGTATAATGAGGCCTTGCCATATCCTCTCATTTTGAAAGCTTTAATGCCTATATTTATAACCTTTAAAAATTTTTTTTCTTTGATTTTTCTTATCTCTACCCACTTCCTTGCTGCCACACTGGCTGCTATTTATGAAAACTGGCCTGGTGAGTATAAAAGAGGATGCCTCAGGTGTGAAATTCCCAGAATGAGGGAGACAATGTTAGTCAGAAACCTAGAAATATTTTCAATATTCTGAGGTCTTCAAACAGAGAATTACTTCTTTACATTTATGCTTATGTTTGCTGCCAATGCAGACATTCGGCATGCTGTAATTTAGTTAAAGATACAAAAACTATTCTTATTTCACTATATTTTTCTACAAGATCAGTAAATATTTTTCCTACTCTTTATATGTTAAAATAAAAAGTCAATCAAACAAAAATCTTCAACACACAAAACTTTAGTTGAACATGCCAGAGCTCAGGTAAAATTTTTATATACACGCAAATAATAAATTCTTTTACAAATTGCTGATTCAGTTCATATACATAGAGATAATTTTTCATAGACTTAAAAAGTTATCTGTATAACTGCTGGAACACAATTCCTAGACTTTGTTTTTGTAATCTTATTATTTCTATTGTTCTGATTTTCTCTTCTTACCTAAGTGTAACTTCATAATATATTTTGATTCTTGGCGGGCCAAGTCCTTAATTTTTATTATCTTCATAGATATTCTCACCCATTTCAGATGCATCTTACCAAGTGTCATGAAAAATCCTGTTACAATTCTGTTTGGAACAGCACTAAATTTACAGCTTAATGTAGAATAAATGTCATTAGTAGAATATTCAGTTGTCAGTTTCGCGACCTTTGCGCTCTCTTCTTTTCCCTGTTTGTATTCCTCACCCTACATTTGTATTCCTCAGCTCAAGCAGTGTGTCCTCCTGTGTAAATTCTCCCCCAACTTTTTAAAACAAATGAGGCACTTCTACACCTATGCTCCTTGAACCACATACGTCTCTCTGTTAGAGAAATCATGTTGAATTGTAATGTTTTTCCACGTTCAACCTCCTACCATCCTGACTTCCTTCAAAGGAAAGCCTTTTGATCTTGTTTAGCTTTAGAATCAACCACAAGGTAATAGGTGAATAGCTGCTAAATGAATCACTGGAGCCCAGTGTCAGTTCTGTTACCTCCCAAGTCATATCACCTGGCTGGAAAAAATTTTTTTCTCAAATGTGAAACAAGAATATTCTAAAGTTGGTCAAACTAACCATTAATGAAGAAAAAAATGGAGGTGTAGAGGAAAGTCAAACAACTGAAAAAAATTGTTAAGTGCCACTTTAAAAAATCAAATCTATGTTAGCAAGAATTATTTTTGTGACTATAAATCCTGAATAAAATTACTCTTAAAAGTGATATCTGGATTCACAGAGCCAATGTATTGCATGCTCTTCTTACCCTTATCATGAAGATATGCTATAGCTGATGCAAGGCTTTGGATAATCCACCTTGTCTCATTCTCAGAGAAATGTCCTTTCTTATCCAGAATTTCTTTGAGTTCTCCATCCTCACAAAGCTCCATCACAAGGTACATTTGCTGGCGTTATATAGATTTTAAAAAGACAGATTATATAGTTGTGGATCTTTAACAATGTTGTTATGCATTGCATATATATGTATATATAAGAGACACACACATAACGGAAACATTATCACAATCTTAATCATTATGTTATTCATTAAAAATATTTAATGTCTATTTGATATAAGATACTATCTTGGATGTTGTTGTTATGTGCCATTGAGTCACCTGCGACTCACAGCGACCCTGTCAACAAGAGCCCTAAATTTTGTTCCATCCTGTGCCATCTCACTGAGGGTCTTCCTCTCCTGCACCGTCCCTCCATTCTCCCAAACATGATGTCCCTCTCCAAGGACCAGTCCCTCCTTGCAACATGCCTAAAGTATGTCAGACAAAGCTTCAGAATCCTTGATTCCAAGGAGCATTCTGGATACACCCTCTCCAGGACAAACCTATTTGTTCTCCTAGCAGTTCATGGCATATTCAACACTCTTCTCCAGCACCACAGCTCAAAGGCATCAATTCTCTTTCTATCATCCCTATTCATTGTCCAACTCTCTGATGTATAGCACGTAACTGCAAAGACTATAACCTGGATCAGGTGCACCTTAGTCTCCAGCCTGACGTTGTTGCTCTTGAGAGGTCCCTCACAGCTGACTTTCCCAATGCAATTCATCTCCTGATTTCCTGGCTACTGTTACCAAGAGTGTTGACCGTGGAACCAAGTAAAAGAAAACTGTTAACTATCTCAATCTCTTCACCATCCATACTGATGCTGCCAATTGGCCCAGTGGTGAGAATCTTTGTTTTCTTGATGTTAAGCTTCAGTCCATATAGGAGGCTGCAGTCCTTGACCTTCTGCAGCAAGTGCTTCAGGTCCTCCTCAGTTTCAGCAAGCAGGGTTGTGCCATCTACATAACACAGGTTGTTGGTGAATCTTCCTCTAATCCGGATGCCACATTCTTCCTCGTACAGGCCAGTGTCTCAGATGATCTGTTCTGCATACATATTGATAAGGTATGGAGACAAAATACATCCCTGATGGACCCCTTTCTTGATTTTGAATCATCCAGTGTCTCCCTGCCCTTTTCAGACAACTGCCTCTTGGTCCAAGTTTAAGTTTCGCATAATCACAATCAAATGTTCTGGGATTCCCATTCTTCTCAGAGTCAGCCATAGCTTGTTGTGATCTTTGCATAGTCTTTGCATAGTCAATGAAGCACAGATAGACATTCTTCTTTTGGTATTCTCTGCTTTCTGCCAAGATCCATCTAACATTAGCTGTAATATCCCTAGTACCATGACCTCTTCTAAATACAGCCTGCATATCTGGCAGTTCTCTGCTGACATACTGTTCCAAAAGTTTTTGGCTCATTTTCAGCAGAATCTTGCTTGCATGTGATATCAATGATATTGTTCAATAATTTCCACACTCTGTTGGGTCACCTTTCTTTGGAATGGGAACAAACCTAGATCTCTTCCAGTCAGTTGGCCAGCTGACTGTCCTCCAGATTTCCTGGCACAACTTAGTGAGTACATCCAGGGCAGTGTCTGTTTGTTGAAAGAAATCAATTGGTGTGCTGTCAACTCCTGGAGACTTGTTTTTTGCCAATTCCTTCAGAGCAACTTGAACTTCCTCCTTCATCACCATAGGTTCTTACTCATATGTCATTTCATTAAATTCCTCTGTGTCAGCCAATTCTTTCTGATACAGTCAGTGACTCTATGTACTCCTTCCATCTTCTCTTGATACTTGCTGGATCACTTAACATTCTACCCAAACTATCTTTAAGTATTGCTACCCTTGGCTTGAATTTGTTTTTCAACTCCTTCAGCTTAGGAAATGCTGAGTGAGTTCGGCCTTTTTGATCTTCTGACTCCAGCTCTCTGCACATTTCATTATAGGATCTTGCATTGTCATCCCTAGCTGCCTTTTGAAATTTTCTCTTCAACTAGCTCTTTGCTTTCTTGATTTCTTCCTTTAGCTTTGGCTACTTGGCACTCTAGTGTAATACTCAGAGTCTCATCTGACATCCATCTTGGTCTTTTCTTCTTTATCCTTTGTAACGATCTTTTGCATTCTTCATGGATGATTTTCTTGATATTCTCCCAGAGCTCATTTGGTCTATGCTCCTTGGTGCTCAAGGCCTCAAACCTGTTCCTGAGATGGTTTTTAAATTCAAGTAGGACAGACTTAAGGTCAAACCTTGGTTCCCGTGGACTTGATATGAGTAGCTGGTGGTCTGACTCACAATCAGCACCTGGCCTGGTTTTCACTGCTGATATTGAGCTTCTGTTTGGGATATCAGAGGGGAAAAAAGAAGCCTGATACACAGACATTATCTTCAAAGAGCTCACAGTGTTGTAATTCACTCCCTATAATTATAGTCACTGATTTGTGACTAACCCTCTAGCAGGTTTTTTCAGAGGCTATAAATCACAAAGGAAGAGATCTGTCCATCTTTCTCCAGCTGAGCCACTGGTGGGTTTGAACTACCAGTGAGAATCCGCCTTTGAGTTAGTAGTACAAATCCTTATGGACTAGGCCACCAGAGTTCCCTATAATGTAATATAATAATAACATATTATTTCTACTATATAATAATAGCATCTTGTGATAAGTGCAAATAGAAAAGGCATGCCTCACCTGTTAATATCATTGGGACCTTGGTGGGGAGGAGAAAAGTAGAGTAGAAATGAGTAGGAAAGTCAGAAAGGATAGATTGGTGCCAGGTTGTACCAAGTTTTGAATGTCATAAGAGGTTTGGAATTTTTTTTTTCTCTTTTATACAAGAGAAGAGCCACTAAAGATTTTTAAGGTGGTATTGACATGGGGAGGGGTGGTTAATGTCTTTATCAGTTTTTTATTTCCACATGACCTCTCTAACAACACTGTAGACTTCTGCTGTCAAGGGCCAGAGAGTAAGTTTTTCAGCTTTGAAGTCATATTGTCTTACCCCACTATTCAACTCTACTCCTGATGTGTAAAACACTGCCTTAAACAAATGAATGTAGCTGTGTTCCAAACTATTCAAAAACTTACTTATAGACCCTGGAATTTGAGTTATGTATCACTTTGACATGACATGAAATATTCTTTTAAACAATCTTTTCAACCTTTAAAAAAATGTGTTAAACTTAGGTCATGGGCCAAAAAAAACCAGACAACAGGCCAGATTTGGCTAATAGGCTGTGCTCTGGTGACACAGTTATAGAGGGGAAAAGGAGCCAGTGGCTCAAGCAGTTTCTAAACAACTGCTAACCTAAGATGCTAGTGGTTTGAACCCTTCAGCTACTCCATGTAAGGTCTTGCCTCAGTAGTATGAAGAAATGTCCCCTAAATGCTGCTCTAGTTATATCTTACAAAGACAAAAGCAAGTTTTTAAAGTATCAAACCCTTTCCAAGTACCTTAACTGTATCCTAGAACAAAGACAAGTATAGTTACAAAAATATCTAGCATCCAGTAAGGAAAAATTCATAGCAGTTAGTATCCTATAAAAATTAACAAGCTATGGTATAGCAAATTATTGAATATATACCCTTTCTGACAATGAAGCTGTGTTGCAATCCCATCCCAAAGACATGGAGTTAAAATCCACTAGCTTCTCTGCAGGAGAAAGATGGGAAATCTTCTTCCATGGGCTTCTGAAAACCCACTGGAGGGTCAGCTATGAGTCAGTTCCAAGTGGACGATACACAGCAACAAATAACAACATGCAAATAAAGTACCTGTGGACCACCAAGGGTATTGGACAGCCTGCTAAAATGGCTTACTAGTAGACTGAAGTACCTCTGGGAAATTGTACATGAACCAAGAAACAGTGATTCAAACAGAACAAGGGGACACTAGGAGGTTAAAAATCAGGAAAAGGTGTCTCAGGACTATTCTCTCCAATAAATCTCTATGCTGAGAAAATAATCCAAGAAACTGAACTATATGAAGAAGAACATAACATCAGGATTGGAGGAAGACTCGTCAACAGCTTGCATTATGCAGATGGCACAATCTTGTTTACACTTAAGCACTTAAGATCAAAGACTACAGCTTTCAATATGGGTTATATCTCAATATAAAACAAAATCCCCACTACTAGACCATCAGGAAGTATCATGATAGATGGAGAAAAGACTGAAGTTGTCAGGAGTCTCATTTAGCTTGGACCCCAAATCAACACCCATAGAAGCAGCAGTCAAGAAATCAAAAGAGATGTAACTAGGGAAATATGCAGTAAAGGACCTCTTTAAAGTGCTTAAGAGTAAGGATGTCACTTGAAAGACTAAGATGTGCTTGATCCAACCCATAGTACCTTTAATTTATTCACATGCTTTTGAAAGTCTGTGAAATGAAGAGTGTGTGTGTGTGTGTGTGTGTGTGTGTGTGTGTGTGTGTGTGTAGCTCTGGTGAATTACTGGTGAGGAATTGTGAAGTTAATCTCACAAAATTATGGCGTTCCAAAAAATTCTAATAGCGAAACTAAGGACCAAAACAGAAGGAAAGCTCTAATCACTTTTAGTTTTTTATGAAATTGCTTCAACTTTAAACATCTGGTTTTAATATGTCACCAGAAATATCACTAAAGACATTAATCTAATCAGCAGAAACCTAATTATATAATCAATAATAAAAGTCATCTGTAATGCTCTCATCAATCTCCAGTGACAAACTCATGCCAGTGACATGAACAACTATGGCCCAAAGGGATTCTTTCAGAATGGAATGATGTTCATTTTGTAACAACAACTTTCAAAATGCACCAAGTGAGGAAGCTTTACCTTAGGGGTTTCTAACACTTGCTCCAGATGTATGATGTGTTCATGTTTCACACTTTTGAGGATGCTCACCTCCCGTTCAAGTAACTTCACAGCAGAGCTTCCAGCCTAAATTAATGAGGAAACATAGATTTCACAGGTGACTATCACACCTACCTGTCTCAAGTAATGACATAGTTTATTTATCCTCGTAATCAGATTAAAACATATTCTTCCTCATGGAAGGGAGTGGGAAGGAGGAAAATGCACAACAATGAATGAATAAATAAAATATATTATTTCTCTCATTTGTTCAATTCTTCCAAACACCTTTACCCTTCAGCCATTATCACCACAGAAATAAATGGGAAACTGTCAATCTCACTTTGTTTCGTGTAAAAGTCATATTCTAAAATTATCCTAAAAGGTCAAGAGAAATAGTGATTGTAAAAATTGTGATTGTGGACTCCTATATCGTCTAAATATGGAAAATTACCACAAATTCAGTGAATTTCCATCTAAACATATGGCTTGACCTGCATTGTCCAATTCACATGTTGCCTGACTTCTTCCAGGCAAAATGGCAGACTACAGAGACAATAGCCCAAATCTTTTTAAATTAAGACAACAGAAAAGTTTATAGATACAAATAATCATCCAAGAATCTTTTGTTCCAATGGAAAAGATAAATAAGTAAGTAAAATACTGACTGAAGGAATAAACTGACCAAAAAAATATCAATAAGGAGACAAAAAAAAAGCACAAGAAAGGTATTATTATTTTTTTCTTTGGTCCACAGAGCCTTCTGGAGCTCACATAGTGACTTTTCTCCACCACAACTTATCAAGTAGTCAGCAGCGTCAGAAAGCCCTTCTCAGTTCTACTTGAGGTCAGACTTGCACCAGTTGTATCTGGCACCGGGAGAGCATGCACAATCTAACATTCAGAGACTCCCTCTGTGTGCCAGCATTCTGTGCTGTGTCTGGTCTGCATCCATCCCAGTGGAACATCATTTCTAAATGGAATCCATACCTCTCACTGAGCACCCTTGTGTATTCTGCACTATCCCTGCACTTGGAGCAGTGCACACTTCACGCAGTGTGTCATCTTTGAGCATCTGCAGCTGGTAGTGACTGTCTCTTCACACCAGCAGAGTATACCATTCCTAACCATGTAGAATAACCTGGATAGGTCAGAGGCCAACAATAATTCTCTTCTAGGCTGGGTGTCCAACCCCTTTACACCTGCTAGATGAGAAGCAGTGCTATTCATAGATTGACAGATATATTTAGCTGTCAACCACATCTTAGACGAGCAGAAACTCTAACCTGACTGGGCACTCCAAACCCAATCTTTTATTGGACTGCAGACATGCAGTCCCAGACCAGACATCACACCTTCACCCCACAGCAGTGGCAAGAGCATCAGTCAGGTGTCTAGTGATGATTCCCAATGTTGTTATTGTTGTTAGGTACCACTGAGTCACATATGATTGATAGAGACCCTATGAACAATAGATCTAAACTCTGCCATCTGCATCACCTCTAACATGCTTGAACTCATTGAAGCAGTCACCGAACCAATCTATCTGGTTTAGGGTCTTCTTGTCTTTTGTCAATTCTCAGTCTTCCCATGGTATCTATTTCTCATGAGCACATTTAAGTGTTCTGGGATTCTGATTATTTTCAATGTTAGTATTAGTTTTTTTATAATCCACAAAGTCAAATGCCTTTGTTTAGTCTATAAAGCATAAATAGGCACTCTTCTGGTAGTCTGTGCTTTCAGTCAGGATTCATGTGGCATGAGCAATGATATCCTTGGTGTCACAGCCTCTCCTGAACCCAGCCTGACCTTCTGGCAGTCCTCAATTTCAGAAAGCAAGGTATACTGGAAGTTCCTGATGAGTCTTCTCTAACCCTGATGCCAAATTCTTCCTCACAGAGTCTAGTATCTCAAATAATTTATTCAGTATACATAGTGAATAGGATACAGAGAGAATATAACCCCGATGCACACCCTTCTTAGTTTTAAACCATGTAATGTTCTCTTGGTCTGCACACAACAGCCTCTTGGTCTAGGTGTAGGTTTCACATGAGCACAATTAAGTGTTATCAAAGAGGCAAAAGAAATAGCATCCAAAGGAGCATTATGTGTCTAGAATGCTAAAGAATCCTAGAAAGACTTCTGTGTCTCCTTTTCTTTAGTCTTATACATTTCTTAATTAAACTTTAGAGAGATAAGACATGTAGTCCAATTTGTAGAGTTTATTTTAAAGGATACAACATAATCTCCTTTTTCATTTTATAAATACGTTGTTGTTGTTGTTGTTATGTGCCATCAAGTCGCTTGCGACTCATAGCGACCCTATGTACAACAGCTCTAAACTCTGCTCTGTCCTGTGCCAATGTCACTGTCTCCGACAGAACAAACACCAAAATAGTTTCTTTGTTTTCCCAAGCACATTAGTATCTTTTTTAAAAGTCGATGAAATGATCAAATGAATAATCTTACACTGTACCTTAAAATCTGTTGAGAAATATAATAGATACAAACAAACAGTATAGTACATAGGTGGTGAGGAAAGTGGTTCAAACTTTTTAAAATTATTTTTAATTGGTTTTCATATAATAATACCTTTACAGTATGTTTTATTCATATATATTGTATCTTATATGATCTTTCATTTACATTGTGTTTTATACAATCATTCATATACATTCTACTTTACATTCTTTTGTTTACACTAGTTTATTTACAAAATTCTAACACACTGTTTTTTTCACACCAGATCCTTCCCATTTCCCTCACTTCCTCACCCACCACATTGTGAGACTCCATGATTAATTGCCCCTCCTGCACATCTTCACCCCTCTGCTTCCATCCTGTCTCCACCTGGATCCTCAAATTTAAAGAACAGGTAAGATGAATGAAGAGAGAATTAGCAAACAGTGAGGAAATAGGGAATTTACTAATATCTGATGATGATGTTCTCTACTCCAAGTCATGGATACTTTATTGTAAAAATGAGTATCAGAACATCAGGAGAAAGCAGCAGGACGTAGAACAAGCTAAGACATATTTAGTGCAAACTCTACATATCCACATATTTTTAAATATTATTTATCTTCAACTCACTCTGGTAAAATTTATGTTTTTTAACTTTTCTGATTTATTTTCCCAAATAACACTTCTCTATCTCAGTATAAGAATTGGCAGAAAGATACAGAAATGACCACAAATATCCAAGGGAATGGTCAAATCCTCACCTCATGGTCAGAGGAAATGGGGGTCAGTGTAAAAAGATGTACTGTCTATACCCACATTGGCCTCATATTGATGCTGCTAGTCAGTCTTACCTTGTCTTTATTCACTTTTTTAATTGCCCACTTAGTCCCTGTTTCAGTATCTGTAGCTTCAATGACCAACCCAAAGCTTCCTTGGCCCAATACTTTTCCAAAAGTATAGAATTCCTAGAGAAAATGAAAAGTCCCTTTGTCATTCATAAAGTATTAAAAATGAACACATAATACAGACAAATTCTAACTCCAGGGGAAAGGTTCTTCTTAAAGTCAAATAGAAACTCATTTCATTACCATCAAGTTGGAACCAACCCACAGCTAAGCTTCCATCAGGTTTTCAACGGCAGTTAATCATACAGGAGAAGACTGCTCATCTTTCTCACACAGAGCAATTGGGGGATTCAAATCATCTGCCTTTTGGGTTGAGACAGCAAAACTCCTTACCCACTTGGCTCAGAATAAGAGGTCCTTTGCAAAGATGACTGGGGGAAGGGAGAGAGGGAGTTAATGGTGCAATAATTAATAATTTTTTTTAAAGTGAACTGGGGGAGGGGGAAAGGGAAAAGGGGATAAAATGTACAACAATGAATGAAAATCTAACTTATATGTTAGATTTTGTTGTTGTTGTTGTTATGTGCCATCGAGTCGCTTGCGACTCAAATGACCCTATGTACAACATCTCTAAACTCTGCTCTGTCCTGTGCCAATCTCACTGTCTCCGACACACTCATCCCGATTGCCACAGTCACCGAATCAATCCATCTCCCAGAGGGCCTTCCCCTCTGCACCTGCCCTCCACCCTCCCAAGCATGATGTCCCTCTCCAAGGACATGTCCCTCCTTACAACATGACCAAAGTATGTCAGACGTAGCCTCAGAATCCTTGCCTCCAAGGAGCAGCCCGGTTTAACCCTCTCCAGGGTGAAATCTGTTTGTTTTCTTATCAGTCCATGGCACCCTCAGCACTCTTCTCCAACACGAAAGCTCAAAAGCATCAATTCTCCTTCTATCCTCCCTGGTCATTGTCCAGCTCTCTGATGCATAACAAGTGATTGCAAAAACCATGGCCTGTACCAGTCGCACCATAGTCTTTAGAGACACACCATTATTCTTGAGTACTTTAGAGAGGTCCCTAACAGCAGACTTTTCCATCGCAATACATCTTTTAATTTCCTGGCTGCTGTTGCCAAGAGTGTTGATTGTGGAGCCAAACAGACTAAAGCTGTGAACAATCTCAATCTCTTCACCATCCTGATGCTGCCAATTGGTCCAGTGGTGAGAATCTTTGTCTTCTTGACATTGAGCCTCAGTCCATACTGAAGGTTGTAGTCCCTGACCCTCAGCAGCAAACCCCCCAGGTCCTCCTCAGTTTCAGCAAGCAGGGTTGTGTCATCTGCATAACTGATTGTTTATAGATCTTCCATCAATCCTGATGCCACATTTCTCCTCATAGAGCCCAGCCTCCTGGATGATCTGTTCTGCATACAAGTTGAAAAGGTATGGAGACAGGACACATCCCTGGCATACACCCTTACCAATTTTGAACCATGTAGTGTTTCCTTGCTCGGTTCTGATGACTGCCTCTTGGTTCAAGTATAAGTTTCCCATTAGCATGATCAAGTTCTTCTGGGATTCCCATTCTTCTCAGAGTCAGCCACAGTTTGTAATGGTCCACACAGTCAAATGCCTTTGCATAATCAATGAAGCACAGATAGACATTCCTCTGGTATTCCCTGCTTTCAGCCAATATTCATCTAACATTAGCTACAATATCCCTAGTACCATGACCCCTTCTAAACCCAGCCTGCACTTCTGGCAGTTCTCTGCTAATGTGCTGTTCCAGTTGTTTTTGGATAATCTTCAGTAGAATCTTGCTTGCATGTGAAATCAACAATATTGTTCTATTGTTTCCACACTCTGTTGGGTCACCTTTCTTTGGAATGGGAACAAATATACATCTCTTCCAGTCAGTTGGCCAAGTGGTTGTTCTCCAGACTTCTTGGCACAACTTGGTGAGCACGTCCAGGGCAGCATCTGTTAGCTGAAATATGTCAATTGGTATACCATCTATTCCTGGGGCCTTATTTTTTGCTATTTCCTCCAAAGCAGCTTGAACTTCTTCCTTCATCACCATAGGCTCTTGCTCATATGTTGTTTCATTAAATTCTTCCGTGTCTGCTAATTCCTTTTGATACAATGACTTAGTATATTCTTTCCATCTTCTTTTGATACCTCCTGGATCATTTAATATTCTGCCTAAAGCATCCTTGATTATAGCAACTCGAGGTTTGAATTTGTTCTTCAGTTCCTTGAGCTTAAGAAATGCTGAGCGAGCTCGACACTTTTGGTTTTCTGACTCCAACTCCTTGCACATTTCATTGTAATATTTTACTTTGTCATCCTGCGCTGCCTTTTGAAATCTTCTGTTAAGCTCACATGGAATGTTAGATTTACTTTTGTTAAATCACAATTAATATTAATGAAAATTTAAATCACAATTAAAAAGGGGGGGAAATATGGATGGATACACAGTGCATTCACCCAAAATTTATTCCAAAACTCTGAGCACTATATTATAAAATCCAAATCTGTTAGCCACTGAACAAGTGTTTCCTCATTAACCAAGTAACTTGGTTAACGTCCATTGTTTCTGTTAATTAAAAAGTTTCTTTCTTTTTAGAGAAATACGGCAAAATTATAACACAGAGATCAATACTAAAGAGAAAAGAAAAATCACCTGTAACCCCACAATCCAGACCAAGAATCCTTTGATGTATAATTTAACATTTACAAAGAAAAAATGAACTAACCTTGACAAAATGATAATTTAGTTTATCCCATCAAATAACAAGCAAGTATTATAATGAAAACTATATTCTCATTCTATGTTAATCTGGGCGGTAGATACATTCTCTGTAAAGTTGGGGATTGTCAGCTTTCGCGATGAAAATAAACTCCAGAACATGTAGATAGGCATTTCTAGACCCACTGAGCATGGAGATCAGAATAGAGGGGAACAGAGAGAAAAGGCTAGTGGGTGAAACTGCCATTTGGTTAGCCAGTCAAAGCCTTCCCACTCTTGGTGATCACCTCTAGTTTGACCATGCAACATGGAACTCAGTTGTTAGTCTTCCTATTTCCTACCATTGTATTTTTCTTTTCTTTTTTACTTTCATTATTTAAAAGTTAAATAGCCTTTCATATTTAATTGTCCACATTTCTGGAAAAACCATTTGAGCTCAGTAAGTACAACTTTAACAATCTTAAATATTCAAAAAACATACTGATTCCAAAAATATATTAATTCCTTTATTTATTCAAGAAATGTTCATTGAAGGACTACTGTGAGTGGGAAGCATCAGACATCTGAAAGAGCGGTGTGCAATTTTTCTAAGTGCTCTGAACTGCCGTTGTTTGGGTCTATACAATAAGATTAACAATTTCTTTTTTACAGAGTGTTTATCTAACTCTTTTGCCTGCTAGTAGTACTGTGGTTAATGCACTAAGTTGCTAATCAAAAGGTCAGTAGTTGAAACCCACCAGTCATTCCAAGGGAGAAAGATGAGGCAGAGTGTATCAGTGAAGAATTTAGAACCCATGGAGCAGTTCCACTCTGTCCTTCAGAATCAGTCCAATGACAGTGAGTTTGGTTTGGTTTTCTAACTCTGGAGTCTCTGGTGGTTCCAATACTTAATGTATTAGGCTGCGAACCACAAGGTTGGATGATCAAGTCTAAGCAGAGTCACCTCAGAAGAAAGGCCCAATGAATTACATCCCTCAAACTCAGCCACCAAAATCGCCATGGAGCACAGATCTGATAAAACACACAGAAAGGCACAGAGAGTCAGCAGCTGCTGTGTTTTTGATCTAACCCATAGAGTGGCTTTTAAATTCAATAGTTATCACTCCCTACCCCCACCCCCACCTCCTGGTTCCTCTCTGACTCCATTTTCTTCTAGTCCACACATACTCACACAAACACACATATTATTGGTATAAGGATATTCATTGAATGCTTATCCCCCTCCCCCATTCTTACTGCCTTAAGAGATGATTCTATAACCACCAGTTGCCTCCTCCTTCATAAAGGATTCTCATTCAATCGCCATGAAAGATGGTCCTGTTTCCTCCCCTCCCCACTTTCCAAACATATATGAATTGGTCCTCAAACACCTTCTTGCTTTCAAACATTTTTAACTGGTTTTCCCCAAAGATGGTCTATGAAGTCCTTAAAGAGCTGTTTCTTTTCTATCTTTTAAAACAGCTAAACCATGATGTCAATCTAGAGATCAAGGTGTGCCTAATCCAGGCCACAGTCTTCGCAATTATCTGCTAAACATCAGAGAGCTGGACAGTGTCTAAGGATGACAGGAGAATCAATGTCTTTGAATTGTGGTGCTGGAGAAGAGTTCTGAACATATCATGGATTGCCAAGACAAATAGGTCTGTCTTGGAAAGGGTGAAACCAAGTTTCTCCTTGGAGGCTAGGCTCTTGAAGCTCCATCTCACATACTTACTTTGGGCACATGGCCAGGAGACACAGGTCCTTGGAGAAGGACATCATGCTCAGAAGGGTGGAGGGACGATGCAGGAGAGGAAGACCCTGGATGAGATGGATTGATACAGTAGGTTGGTGTGTCAGAATTAGTGAGACTGCTCAGGACAGGCAAGGGTTCAGAGCTGTTGTTAATGGCACAGAACAATAACTATAATCCTGAAGTCAGGCAACATAAATGCGCTGAGAGAAGAGAGGTGGGGGAGAGGAAAAAGAAGAAATACTCATCTTTAATATTCTAGACAAAATTACACGTTTCAGCTAGAAGATGCAACACTGGATATGCTCACCAGTCTAAACTAGGAAATCTGGAGGAAAACTGCTTAGTTGACTTCCTGGAAGAGACCCATATTTGTTCCCATTCCCAACGAAGGTGGCCCAACAGAATGTGGAAATTATAAAACAGTATCATGTTGCTGGTGATCATTTAAAAAAGGACAGGTAAAAGAAAGGGAAAGACCTGGTGTGAAAAACAAAGTATACGCATTTTGTGCTCTTTGTATATAAACAAGTATAAAATTTAAAAAAATTAAAACAAAACTAAAAACAGCTAGAACAGTACATTGACAAAGAACTACTAGAAGTTTAAACAGGGTTTAGAAGAGGCAATGGACACCAGGGATATCACTGCTGATGTCAGATGAATCCTGACTGAAAACAGACAATATCAAAAGAATGTCTATTTGTGTTTTGTTGACTATGAAAGGCATTTGACTGTGTAGATTATAACAAACTATGGCTACAATTGAGAAGAATGGGAATCCAAGAACACTTAATTGGGTTCATAAAAATCTGTATCTCCAGCGCTGGATGAAAATCGCCTGTGACTTCATCCACAGCCACTGGTGAGAGTCAGCGCCCAGAGCCATCAGGGGCTTTAAGCTCGTTGCCCACTGCTGTGGTGTGGACAGCTGAAACCCAGGAACCGACAGGCACCTGGGGGGTGGGGAACCCAGACTCTACTTCATGCTCTGCTGGAGAAGGAGGGGCAGTCTCCTGTACCGGTCAGATCCAATTTGACGGTACACACACACACACACTTTTTCTTCTTCTTTTTTAAAAAAAGATTACTTCAGCCGTCACGGCCCTCTGCCCGGGGCGGGCTGCCCTCGGCCCCCGGCCCAGGGCGAGCCGTCGCAGCCCTCTGCCCGGGGCGGGCTGCCCTCGGCCCTCTGCCTGGGGCGAGCCATCGCGGCCCTCTGCCCGGGGCAGGCTGCCCTTGGCCCCCGGCTTGGAGCGAGCCGTCGCAGCCCTCTGCCTGGGGTGGGCTACCCTCAGCCCCCAGCCCGGGGCGAGCCATCGCGGCCCTCTGCCTGGGGCGGGCTGCCCTCGGCCCTCTGCCTGGGGCGAGCCATCGCGGCCCTCTGCCCGGGGCAGGCTGCCCTTGGCCCCCGGCTTGGAGCGAGCCGTCGCAGCCCTCTGCCCGGGGCGGGCTGCCCTCGGCCCTCTGCCTGGGGTGAGCCATCGCGGCCCTCTGCCCGGGGCGAGCCGTCGTGGCCCTCTGCCCGGGGCGGGCTGCCCTCGGCCCCCGGCTTGGGGCAAGCTGCCCTCGGCCCTCTGCCTGGGGTGAGCCATAGTGGCCCTTTGCCTGGGGTGGGCTGCCCTCGGCCCTCTGCCTGGGGCAAGCCATCGTGGCCTTCTTCCTGGGGCGGGCTGCGCTTGGCCCCCGGCTCGGGGCAAACCATTGCGGCCCTCAGGAGCAAGAAGGCAAGCAGCTGTAACCCAAGACCACCAGTAAGGTGATAAACCGTCCTCCCTTCCCCCCTTTATATCTATGCCCCTGTTCAGCATGAAGAAGCCAGAGAGTCGGCATCCAATTCCCAAATCAATAAGACAGTTGGTTTAATTACTATTGGAAAATGCTTGTCATTCCTCTGTAGCAACTGGTTCCCACTGGACCCTCATCATTTCCTTCACCTGCTCCCCCCACCGACCAAACTGTGCAGCTCTGCAACTGCATCCTGGCCCATCCTCACCCTTCTGCCCCCAACCCTCACCTCCTTGTACCCCCAATATGTTTTTCCCAATAAAAAAAGAATAAAATCTGTATCTCAAACAAGAAGTTGTTATCTCAACAGAACAAAGGAATACTGCATGGTTTAAAATCAGGAAGGATCTGCATCAGCAATGTGTGTTTTCTCCATATTCTTTCCATCTGTATGCTGAGCAAATACCTCACAAAGCTGGACTCTATGAAGAGGAATGTGGTATCAGGATAAGTGGCAGACTCATTAACAACCTGCATTAGACAAATGACACAATCTTGCTTACTGAAAGCAAAGAGGATTTGGAATGTTCACTACAGAAGATCAAGGACTACAGTCTTTGGTATGGATTACATCTCAATATCAAGAAAACTATGGTCCTCACCACTGGGCCAAACGGCAGTGTTATGACAGATGGTGAAAGGATTGAAGTTGTCAATGATTTCATCTTGCTTGGATCAACAATCATCACCTCTAGCAGCAGTTGGGAGATCTGGAGACGTATTGCATCAGGCAAGTCTGCTGCCAGGGATGTCTCCAAAATACTAAAGAGAAATTATGCCAATCTAAAGACTACGGGGCACCTGGTTCAGGCCGTGGTCTCTTCAATCACTTGCTATGCACTAAGAGTTGGACAATGAGTAAGGATGACAGAAAAAGAAATAAAGCCTTTGAGTTGCACTGGAGGAAAGTACTGAATATCCCATGGACTGTTAAAAGAACAAAAAGGAAAAGTGCACCCAGACCAATAAGACAAAGTTTCATCTCTCATACTTTGGGCCTGTGGCTAAGAGAGAGTATTCCTTGGAAAGGGAAATCATGCTTGGAAAGATGGAAGGTCAGTGAAAGAGAGGTAGATACCAACAAGATGTATCACACAATGACTGCAGCAATGGAGTAAAGTATGTCAGAGATGATGAGGATGGCACAGGACAGGACAGGGGTCAGGTCTGTTGCTCACGGAATCATTGAGTCAAACCTGATTCATTGACACCTAAGAACAACTGTTGCTATATATTTTGATGGTTATAAAGATGAATGAAACATTATTTCTGTTTTCTCAGAACATGTTAATCTACTACATATGTATATAATTTTTTTTCAAAAGAATGTGACATCAAGATTAGAAGACTTATCAACAGTCTATATTATGCAGATGACATAAATCTGCATGCTGAAAAATGATGGTTACCTGAAGCATTTACTAAAGAAAATTAAAAACTACTGCCTTTAATATGGATTATAGCTGAACATTACAAAGACAAAAGTCCTTATCACTGGGCCAATAGACAACATCATGATAGATGGAGAAAAGATTGAAATTGAGGGAGCTCTGGTAGCCTAGTGGCAAGATGCTGCACTGCAATTCCAGAAGTACGTGGTTCAAATCCACCAGATGCTCTGCTAGAAGGGAGGGGGCAATCTCCTCCTGTACCAGTCAGATCTGATTTGACAGTACACGTAAAAATAATACAATACAAATTTTAAAATAAGATTGAAATTGTTAATGACTTCGTTTTACTTGTATCCACAAAACACCCTTGGTACCAGCAGTCAAGATATCAAAAGACATGCTTCTTTGGGAAAATCTTCTACCAAGGACCTCTTCAAGTTGTCACAGCTCAATGTTAACTGTCTAAAGCCTAAGATGCACTTGATTAGGCCATACTCTTTTCAGTTACTTGCCATGCATCAAAAAAGTTGGATGATGACTAAGGATGACAAAAGAAGAACTGAGTCTAGAGTTGTGGTGTTGGAATAGAGTGCTTAATATCCCATGGACTGCCAACAAAAGGATAATCAAATATGTCTTGGAGAAGGTGCAGCCAGAGAGCTCCTTGAAGGCACAGATGGGGTAGCTTCAGCTCACATATTGCAAACATGTTTTTAGTACAAGCCAGCTAGGCAAAAGAAATCATTCTTGGAGAGGTGGAGGGTCAGTGACAGAGAGAAAGACTCTCAAGGAGATGGAATGACCCAATGACTGAAGCATTGGGATCAAGTATATCACTGGCTTATGATAAAACAGGGTTCAGATACACTGAGTTGCAGTCGACTTGACAGCACCCAATAACAACAATGAAGATATGAAAATATTACATAAATAATAAAGTCCTTAGTTCCAGATAAAAATCCCTAGCAAATGCTATTGGAGCCAGTGGCCAGAGCTATATACTGGAAGAACAAGTGGAAAAGTCATGAGAGGACAGCTTCTGAGATCAACATGGGGAGAAAAAAGGCAAAATCTGTTTAAATAGGAACTTAATAATGAAGTGAAAAAAAGACCAACTGTCCTATGAATTATCTTATTTTATAATTGATCTGAGATCATGTAATGGAGGGAAATAAGAATAAAATTGCTTGATTCTAATAATTTTAAGAGGATGATATAAAATTATAACAGAGCTCTTTTATTAGCAAAGGAGTCAATGCCATAAGTTAAATGTAGAAAACATGCATGATATGATCCCATCATGAAGATGTGTTTATGTAGTTGTGTTTACATTGATGTTAGGAAGGAAATGAATCTAAATATTAAGAGTATTATCTCTTGTAGCAGAATTTTGGATGACTAAAACATCTTTTACAGTCTCTTGAACTGTTATAAATTTTTATAATGAACCTATTTATTTTATGGGAGAAGCTAAGCTTCAACTTCAGCCAAAACTGTAAAAGTTATTTCCTTAAAATATGTATATATCTTATATACTTCATAATTTAAACCAGGAAAAAACTGAAAAGGGAAAAAAGGGTAAAACCTGCACATGTACAAGGGAAAAAAGTCAAAGAAAGACAACAAATGATAAAATTCGCTCTATCTGACTGAGGAAAACTTCCTTCTTTACTTTTCTATCTATATCTTCTTCATGTTCCATGAGGAACCCATGTTCCTTTCTACATAACAGCTTTTATGGTTAAATTTTAAACACAGCATATTTGTGAAGTTTTGGGGGACTTTGTTCATCTTGATGCAAGTCATTTATTTAAAGGAGAGATTTAAACTTCTCAAGAATTTCTCAGTAAGATTTTATAATCATTCCAATTCCTCTTAAAACAAATTTTAAAGATGATTTAATGCTAATGCATATTAAAGTAAAATAATGATTATATTTTCTTCATGTTTTAGTTTAGTGAGATGCTAAAGAAGCAATTTAATTTTAAAATTATCCCAATATGGTTTTTCTCTGCATTTTCTACAATGACTCCACAACTGCTCTCAAAAACAGCCCAATGCTTAAAGATTAAAATGGTCTCCATTTTGTTTAATAAAATATAACTTTCACTCTATGTTCATTTGATTTTCCATGAACAGAAAAAGTACCCAGAATTCATTATCTTTAGGAAAAGCTTTGGCACATTTAAAGATAGTAATTCCAAAAAAAAAGATAGTAATTCCTTCTTAATCTTACTATCTTCATTTACTTAAGAGATTTGTTTTAAACTTTTCCCCCAATAACCATTTAGTTAGAAGAAATCACAAAATTTCTAGACGCTGTTAAGAACTTCAGTCTCCTTTCCATGTACCTGAATAGCAGAGTCACTGTCTATCCTTATGTGAGGGACTTTTCCATCCAGAAAGCTACCTCGATGCCATTGTTGAGATATTTTTTTTTCTACATCTGAGATTCTTGTTACCTTGGACCAAGAAGGAATAAAAAGATTAACTTTAAAATACAAAATCCTTGTAAAATACAAAATCTTTTCAAATACAAAATCTCTAACTTAGACAATCTGATAACGCTTTAGTATATTTAATGTAATCTTTATAGTTAATACAGTTTCCTATCTTTTTTCCATTTCTAAACTCTATATGGTTCATTAGATCACTGGACTAAGAAAGCTGTCATTCAATACAGCCCTCTAAAATCCATGAATGTCTATATGATAATTTGTATTGCAGATATACCAGAATTTGTTCCATTAAAAAAAAAAAATTCACCAGAAAAGGCAACCTCACAGTTTTATCAATCGCCCTTGTTTCAAAATGGAACAATCATCTTCAATAGGCTAAACATAAGAAAGGTATCGATGAATCTTGGGTCTTAGTTTGAGTCTTACTTTGGTGAGTCTTGGGTCTCAGTAGCTTACAAATGTTCATCTCAGGTAATGGCGTTTTCCCATTCAGAGCAAGGAAGAGTGAAGATAATAAAAGACTTAAGAAAACAATTAGTTCAAAGCACTAACAATCCACATGAATCACAGCCACCACTAGCTTAAGACTGAAAGAACTAGACGGTACACAGATGCCATCACTATCCACTCTGAATGAGATCACAACAGAAGATTCTGGAAAGATAGAGGAAAATGTAGAACAAGATTCAGAATCTTTAAAAGAGACAAAAGTTATCTAGTCTGACAGAAACTAGAATGACCTTTAGACACCCTTCAACCCTGGAACCGAACCCATTCCCAGACATCATCTTTCAACTAAACAACAGGCCTTTCAACTAAACAACAGGCACGCCCATAAAGTGAACAACAGCTGTGAGAAACACATTCCTCAGAACAATCAACCATACAAAACCCAAAAGGGCAACATTTGCCCAAAAACAAAACTGAGATGCCAGGAAGTTGCAGGAAAGAAGGTCAAAGAGAAATGGAGAAGCCAGAAAGGAGGTGGGAAGAGCACTCAACGAAGGAGAGGAAGCTTCCCAATGAGATGAGTGACACAGTGACTTCAGCAATGGGCTTAGTGTGTCTGAGATGATGAGAATGGCACTGGATAGGGGAGAGTTCAGGTCAGTTGTTCATAGGGTGACTATGAGTTGTGTTAAACTCGATGGCACCCAACAACAATATCAAATACGCAAAATGTGTATAAATTGTTGAATGGGCAATTAATTTACTTTGTGAACTTTCACTGATGTCACACTAAAGTGTTAAGTACAAAAACAAAAGTCAGTACTTGCAGAACAAATATTTCATTAAAAATAGTGGTCAGGTACTCACAAAATAGACTTCTAAGCAAAATAACACAATAGCTACTCTCTCAGAGACATGTTTATAATAAGAATTATATCTTAAGTAATAAATGTCAGAAAAAAAACAGCAAAAAATTAACGTGTGAAAAAGGTAGAACTCTGAAATCAGGGAAACCTGTTTGTTTTTAAATTTATTGCACTCACCTTCCAACGTTACACTCTATTGATTAAAGAATTCCAAATTGCCTCTTCTCAAATACCCAAGCTGGTCAAATAGTTGAATGCAAGGTAATTTTATGAAGTACCTTTGACATTCCATCTAAACACTTAGGAATTATCATGTAACACCATAAACACTATATTTAGTTATAGCCATAAATTTTATTCTTTATCAGTTAAAGAAGATGTTAAAAAGTTTTACACTTAACTAAACTTGCAAACAATCTATACAGGAAAAGCCACTAGCAAAAGAGGTGGAATAACATCCTCAATTTTCAGAAAAAACTGATTTGGGAAACACTTGAAAGTAAGCCTTAAAAAAAGTTACTTGCCATCCAAGCAGATATATACACACCCATGTTTATCACGACTTTGTTCACAATAGCAAGGAGTTGGAAACAACCTAAGTGCCCATCAACAAACGAATGGATAAAAGTTACTACCCAACTTTGTTCACCGAGTCTGTGAAAAAGAAATGTTTCTTTGTTAAGAAGGCAATGATTATTAGACATGGCACCATGGGATAGAAATAAAGGTAAGAATAGAATTAGGAAATGGATGTAAATTTGTACTGAAACTTTGAATCTTCAATATTTACCCTATCTTTCCCAGAGGCAGTATCCTTGTTGGTGGTTTTTTCCTTTTTTCTCTCTGATGAAATCAGTTGTTCTGTACTACTGCTGCTTGATGTGGGTGCCAACGGCTTCAATGAAGTTGGAGAAGCCTTTACATTACAGGAACATGGAGAAAGTGCATCTTTCTCAGAAACAGATGAACTTCTGGATTTTATGGATTTTTTACCCAAACCACTACTATCAGCCATAGGCTTAATTCTGCAACAATTCAAATTGAAAAGAAAGGTCTTCTCACTGTTTGAGGAAGAGAGCCAAACTAAGAAGGTAAGCAGATGGCAAAAAAACTCCAGTAACTTCCAATGCGTGAGGTACTTGGGTTAAGGATGCACAAGATTCATCATCACATATGAGAGCTGCAGGGGGGGAAAAGCAAAAGCAATCACTATTTAGAATTCTATCTTGCTTACCAAGCTTATTAGAAATCTGAGGAAAACTAGAAACTAGCACCAAAAGCATGCTGACTAGTCCTGAAAAGTTGGTATTTATCACAAAATTTGGGAAATGCTATTTCTAAAAACCAAAGGTTCTCATCTCTCAAAACTGAATTCTTAAACTCCAGGTTTCATATTTATAATTAAAAGAAACACCCTTACTGTTCTGTTTCATAGAATGGATGAAAACTATATTGCTTTATAAAAGTTCAGCGTTCAAGTTATGAAATCAACTTGACAGGATGATATAATTTCTTCATAGTAAATTGAAATAGACAACGTCTTTCCTAAGTTTTGCAAAGTTTTTAATCACATTGAGATATACATGTACACAAAGAGTGTGCATGTGAGTATAACTGATCACTAAATCAGTTGAATTTTTTTCTTTTTAAAAAATTATTATTTATACAATCATACTTTTTATACAGTTTTTCATATGCATTGTTTTATTCCTATTCATTTTGTTTCATGACATAATTTCTGTACATTGAGTTTTATATAATTAATTACTATTGGTTGGTTTATTTTATAGCTGAGAAAACTGAGAATGATTTTTTTTTCATGTGGGTTATAGCCTTAAATGGCTTTATAATTGGTCTAAAACATATATAAAATCCTATACATTCATTTGTTCCCTGTTGTTCTTCATTTCTTTTTAGTGACAAAGAAGAAAAATTCAATAAATAGTAGCAGTTATTATTATTACTGTGATTTAAAAATTTAAAAATAATTAAAAACAATAAAAAAATAAAATTCAGCTGTAACTATTACTTCAGTGCCCTATACATTTCACAAAGGAATTAATAATCTTATTTTCTGAAAGTACTTCATTTTTAAGCATTAAAGATATCTTAATTTTCACACTCACATGTTGTTGCTGCTATGTGCCATCGAGTCGCTGGTGACTCATAGCGACCCTATGCACAACAGACCTAAATCCCGCTCTATCCTGTGCCAATCGCACTGTCTCTGACACTCCCATCCCAATTACCCCAGTCACTGAATCAGTCCACCCCATAGAGGGCCTTCCCCTCCTGTGCTGTCCCTCCACCCTCCCAAGCATGATGTCCTTCTCCAAGGACCGGTCTCTCCTTATAACATGTCCAAAGTATGTCAGACGAAGCCTCAGAATCCTTGCCTCCAAGGAGCCACCCGGTTTAACCCTTTCCAGGATGAATGTGTTTGTTTTCCTAGCAGTCCATGGTACTCTCAATACTCTTCTCCAGCACCACAGCTCAAAGGCATCAATACTCCTTCTATCCTCCTTGGTCATTGTCCAACTCTCTGATGCATAACAAGTGATTGCAAAGACCATGGCCTTAGTACCAGACACACCTTAGTCTCCAGAGTGACTCATTGCTCTTCAGTACCCTGGAGAGGTCCCTAACAACAGACTTTCCCAAAGCAATACATCTTTTAATTTCCAAGCTGCTAGTGCCAAGAGTGTTGACTGTGGAGCCAAGTAAATCAAAACTTAATTATCTCAATCTCTTTACCATCCATCCTGATGTTGCCAATTGGTCCAGTGGTGAGAATCTTTGTCTTCTTTACATTGAGCCTCAATCCATATTGAAGGCTGCAGTCCTTGAGTCTCTGCAGCAAACGCTTCAGGTTCTCCTCAGTTTCAGCAAGCAGGGTTGTGTCATCTGCATAACGCAGATTGTTGATAGAGGTTCCACCAATCCTGACGCCACTCCTCTCCTCATAGAGCCCAGACTCTCGGATAATCTGTTTTGCATACAGGTTCAAAAGGTATGGAGATAGGACACATCCCTGGTGTATGATCACACTCACATAGTTAAAACAATTTTTGTTCATTTCTAACAGGTGTTACTTTTCCTGGACTAGAGAATAACACACAGTCTGTCTTGTATATTGCAGTAAGCTGAAAGGGTTTGAGCTAAGAAAATGGAGAAATAGAATCTGCAGTATATATAAGGTAACCTTGAGAAACCTTGAGAGTAACTGCATGTATGTGTGTGCCATACTACTTCAGATATGGTTCTAAAGTATATTTTTGTAGTCACAAGTTGATAAAGCTGAGAATATAGAATATACCTATTCCTCTAAACCTAATCAGAATAGGATATTAGGTATTTGATCTCATTAGAGAAATATTTGTCATCTTAGTTGTCCAAGATTGGCTTTCCAAACAGAAATAGATGTTGATGTTTATTTAATTCTTCCTTACCTACTGAGATAGTCACATATTTTCTTATTAGATATTTTTATATATTTCATTTTATAACTAGTCTTGCTTTCGTAGACTTAATCACAATGGATGGTTCCTTTCATATGCTGAAAAATGGGCATATTTATACTTTATTCCATTTTCATAATGACAATAATAAATTTGGGTATGTTGTCAGGAGGGACCAGTCCTTAGAGAAGGACATCATGCTTGGAAGGGTGGAGGGACAGCACAGGGAGGAATCCCTGAACAAGATGGACTGATACAGTAACAGGGATGCTAGGGTAGGTATGTCAGAGGCAGTGAGACTGGTCAGGGTTCAGAGCTACTGTGCACAGGGTCACAACGAGTCAAAGTCAGCCACAGTGTACATAACAACAACAAACTGGTAACTGTCCTTTTCCAGCTACTTCTGTCATATTTTTAATAAAATCTTTTGTCTAATTTAATACGATAAATTGAGTTTGGGGGTGCTTGTTTTGTTTCTTTTTTCATTTTTCAGTGCTTGGTAGCAATCAGTAGAGAATAGGAATCTACAAGAAAACCTTTCAGATCACTAAGATTTTATGAACAATATTCCTACTAGCTTTTCTAATACTCATTCTCACATTCTTCTCTACCAAAAAAAGATTGGTTTTTCCCAGGGCAGTACTGTGAGCATAAAAAACTTAGGTTCTCTGGTATCCCTAGGAGAAAAAACTTAGGTTCTCTGGTATCCCTAGGAGACAGAGAAAGGCAAGTGAGTAATAGCCATGAAGTAGAGAACAAAATTAAGATAATGTGGTACTTTAAAGAAAATGTATATTCTTAAATCTTCATTAAAAACTAAAAAACAAAGGTTAGAGACTTTTTTAAGTGAGCAGTAAAGCAAAAAACATGATTAAGGAACAAATCTTTGTAAGTATAAACAAAAATTACCAAGAAAAGCATACAGTGATGTTTTTTTCACTAAGACTTGAGTGAAAGTCTACAACCAAATTGGTTTTCCATTCAACTATTAACACACATTTTGCTTTATAATAGTACTTACAGTACCTACAATTTAATAGTTCTCTTTTCATTTCCTCCCTGTGATTCTTATTTCCAGCAATCCTTCTAGCTCACCTCGTCTTACTTTCCAGTTTTACTGGGAAGGAGGGGATAAATACTGCTCTTGTGAATTTATATGATTGATTCTAAGGAGTGAGTGCCTGTTTAATGGTTAATTAAAGGTCTTGCAATCTCTCATGTGATACTCAGAAATCCAAAGAAGCATCAGCTATTAGACACTACTGACTTGACGGCAATGAGAGAGAGAAAGAGATGATCTGGCGGAAAGCTAATCCACAGAGGTGACATTTGTTCCAGGTTCAAAGGTTAACTGATAGCTTCAATTCTGTCATGGCAAAGTATGGTCAAGGTGCTCCACAGAGGCAAGGATGGAGAAACTTCATCTTATATACTTTGGGCATGTTGTCAGAAGCCACCGGTCTTCAGGAAGGTAGGTCAGAGAAAGAGAGGAAGACTGTCAACAAGATGGATAGACAGACACAGTGACTGTAACAATAGACTTGAGCATGGTGGAGATCGTAAGATGGCACAGAATGGGGCAAGGTTTCAAACTGTTGTTCACAGAGTCACCATGAGCTGAAGACCTCATAGCACCTAACAACAAGAACAGAACAACTATCCAAGTTCTACTGCTGTCCCTTTGAGAGTTAGTGGAGGTAAGTGAATTGGATAGGGATGGAGGACAGCACCATCTAGTTCTTGTCTCAAGGTTATGGAATTTGAAGTTCAAGTGGTTTGTTAGACTTTTGGACTAATTGTTTATACACATCTTTGCTTTTCTTTCCTCTTCTTTGTTCTGGACCAGGAGAGATCGATAGTTGCATCTTAGATGACTTGTTTCAAGCCTTGACTTGTTTCAAGGGCTTTCAAGCCCTGAGGCACTACTCACTTAAGTAGGATGTACAGCATTGTTTTTACACAAATTAACCTTGATGTCACCCAAGACTATGGTCCCAATGCCCCAGAAATGCATATTTTGCATAATTTTTCCTAAAAGGCACCAAATAAATTATTTCCTTCTTACTTCTCAATCTTCACATATTATCACCTCCCCCAGCACTTTGCTCTAGATACAGTAGCCTCATGGATGGTACACACATCCTTCATGAAGTTATTTTCTGCTTTTCTTCTCTGCCCAGGGCCCTCTTTACTCCAGTATTTGCATGTCTATGCATTCTCACTTCATTATGGTTTCTGCTCCTTTGAGAGATTATTCTTAACCCCCTTATTGTTCACTCTGTCTCTTTTCCTTGCTTTATTTTTCTCCCTTGCACTTACCATTTCCACTCAGGAAGTTTTACAGCAAAATTCTTTCCTACTTTTAGAGAACACTTGATTCCCATATAAACTGTTAGAGAGCAACAGAAAGTTGCCTAGTTCATGTCACCATTTTATTAAGTTAGAATAAGCAAATTCTGACCGTGGTACCAAAAAACCAAACCCAAACCACTGCTGTTGAGTCAGTTCCAACTCACAGTGACCCTCCATCAGGGTGCTGAGGCTGTGAATGTTTATG